TTTTTCCCCCCCCCCCCCCCCCCCGCCCCCCAACACCTGGGTAGGGGGACAAGACGTAGTAAAAGTTCCTTCCCATCCTCCAAAAAGAATAGACCACTACCCCTATAAGGGGAGCCTATGCAAATACCGCTTTTTAAAGGTAAAATTTCTGTTATGGTGGATTTGTTTCCTTTCACTGATGTAGACTAGCCTTATGAAAGTTATCATGTACCCATGAATGGTATCTGGTCTCCTCGCCACCAATGAAATCGGCACAATTAATATATTCTTTTATTGAAACATCGTTTTAAAAATTTAAGTTTTAGCACCATTTCATTATTGACAATATATACTCATCTGGCCTTAAAAACGGTATCATACATATCCATGAGCGGTATCCGGTCACCTCGCTAGCAATGAAATTGGCACAATAAGATATATATCTTTTTATTAAAACATCGTTCTAAAAATTTAAGTTTTAGCACCATTTCATTATTGATAATATATACTGGCCTTATAAAAGGTATCATACCCATGAACGGTATCTGGTCACCTCGCCACTAGTGAAATCGGCACAATAAAATATATATCTTTTTATTAAAACATCGTTCTAAAAATTTAAGTTTTAGCACCATTTCAATTTGACAATATGTCTTCTTAATGTTCATTTGCATTCATTTGTGAAGAAAAATTATAATGAAATTTCTTATTTAGTTGTTGTTTAACTACAGGCTACTAGAGAACTAATAAAAGCTTTTTAAAATATAAACTAGTCTATTAAATACATCTAAAAATGAATCACACATTATAAATAACTTACACCAGAAACTCATAAGGGGTTGAAAACCCCTTATGAGTTTCTGCTTACACTAACTGGAACTTGTATTGAAATAAATAAATGATTAAAACCTAGACAAGAACCATGCTTGCATATCACATAATTATATAAAGGTTAAAAAGCATATACAGTAACAGTACTTTGTAACTGGTTTAATTTTTGATGGGTAGGTGCCACTAGTCTCCTAAGAACCCCTACCCCATTGTAGGCTATTCTGTTGCCATATTATAGACCCCATCTTAAAGTCACTTTGGGGAAAAGTTATTTTCGCAATCCCAACTTAGTCATTTTCTGCTCATGCATGTACTTTATAAAGCCTTTTAACTAATGGTCATCCTGAAATGAACTGACGTATTTGTTAAAACTTAATGTGGTGTAAATCTTTCTATTTTTAAATCCCTAATAGTCAATATCCAGTTGTGAAAATGCAACCCCATCCAGCGGCACATACCCATTTGCCTACTACTGGGAAGTTCACCCCCCCCCCCCCCCCCCCCCCCGCACTAAACTCTTGTCTCTCAACACACAAAACAAATTCCCATAACATGTTGTCTACGTCTACTACCACTA